CCAAGATTTAGAATAATTATATTTTTAAACCAAGATTTAGAATAATTATATTTTTAAACCAAGATTACGAATAATTATATTTTTAAACCAAGATTTAGAATAATGATCATTTTGATCCGTATGATAATGTGTGACTGGGCCTCGTGTCACTTTATGTTGAACAAATTGGACCCCGAATTCAAAAAGGTTAAGAACCCCTGGTCTATCAGACACTTGGGGCTAAATTACTCTGCTTATGTCACTGCTGACAACTAAAGGAGAAAGCATTATTAAGCTTTACCATACTTCTATGAATGGTATTTCTTGGTAATGTAGAGGCCATTTACATAGAGATGTAACAGTTGAGCAGCAAGTTTGAAAGCCATCTGAAACCTGTGGGTTTTTCCACAAACAGAAACATGAACATTTGCTTAATTCGCAAATCGAAATTGTCACTAGTAATGGTGTGAATGGTTGTCTGTCTTGTTTGTCTCTATGTGTCTCTGTGTATCCCTGACACAGCACAGAAAAAGCAGGTGAAGAAAAAATGGATGGATGGATGATGGATGGATGGATGAATGGATGTGAAGAAACTTATAGTTTTTACAGATTAGTACTGATGTTAAAAGCACAACACTATATTTTTAGGTTTTCCTTTTTATAATGGTTAATCTATAATGTGTTGATTGATATAAATTAGTAACATGTCCGAAATATCTATAACAACACATATTTATCCGTTATGAAAACATCAGGGCAGAATTGTGTATGAATGCCCGTGATTCAGCCGTAGGTCAGTAGGGGGCGAACACGGGCATTGAAGACTCTGTATAAATGGATCGATTTCCGGGTTGACCGGCAGTGTGTGGTTTCCTGTCAGATCCGAATGGCATTAAATCCTCACTCCCAGAATTCTGGTTTTGTATGGTTTTATCTCGTCTAACAATCATCTTATTTAACATTGGTGGTTTTCTAATGACTTCAGTCTTTGAACACGAATATTTCTTACAGATGGATGGATGATGGAGTGCAATCAAAGTCTTTTACCTAACCAGATGTATTTTTATTTTGCTGTTTAAGCAGCTATCTATCTCGTTTGGCTGTAATTTTTGGAGACTAGTTACAGTTTTCCTCATTTGCTATAGTGCATTTCTCATATCATTATTTTACATTTGCATAAGAGTGAGAGCATTTCTCAAAACAATGCATAAAAATAAAACACCATGGATTACCTGCAAAACCCAGTTTATTGCTCAAAATCCTTAGTTCATTTCTCAAAACTAAATATGTATGTATGTACAGTTTGTACAGTTTGTACAGTATGTACAGTATGGATAGATAGATAGATATTTTCTGTAGCAGGTGAT